GCAAATTAGTCCAGAGGTTCCTTAGTTATGATCGGATAAACAAACAAACGCACACCAAGACACCCAAACAGAGATTACAACTTTATATATAGATACAGGCTACAGCAGTTTATACATGATTTGTTTTTAATATCCGTTTATGTTTTTTATCCTTTGTTTCCTTTCTACAATTTACTACTGTATCATAGTTCTATTTAAAAAAATCTATTTACGAGTTCTCAAGTGATCAATAGTGTTTAAAAAAGGAATTGAGTCTTTGCCACCAACTAAAATTGTCTAATACCTATATCTTTGCAACCTGATGGTGTAAACCTTTGATATTTCCAGTTCAGATTCTTTGATCTGAGTATTTATAGTTTGAAATATCTAAGGTCTACGACATTGAGTTGGACAGATATAAGGATTGTAAAGTCAGAGTTTGTGGCAAAAACTCAATTCCTTTGCAGAGCTTCTAACATTTTTGCAGTAAGAAGACTTATGTTTTATCTAAATTTATGAGTTATTGATCGTTTACTAATAATGCAACTGGGACCAAGTTTCATAATTTGGAGAGGTCGCTAAACTACCGCACTGATTCAAATCCTGAATCACCGATTCAAATCCTTATGAATCTTAAATTTGAGTATGTTAATTAGGATTTGCACCGGCGCAAGTAGGTAGTTCAACCACCGTTCTCAAATTCATTAAATTCCATCCCTGACCTAACTTATACGTTTTAGATTAGTTAATTTGTAACTTCAAACATGTTTGGGGGTTTTCTTTTCTCTGTGTTATCTGAACTATTGACATCTTGGAACTATCAAATTTGATCGTCTTCTTAAAATTTAACTTATTGTTAATATTTTCTAACTAATTGCATAAATCATAATCCCGTTTTGAACCAATCGACATCGGTACTATTTTTTCATTTATCACATTTCTGTTAAAACCTAGTTATAAAATGAAATAATAAAACATATATAAAGACCCCAAAAATCTAATAATTACATGTACTTTACAATAATATAATAATTTAAAAAAGCTTTTTTCTTTTTATTGTACTTACTTCGCAGAATTATTTAGATGGAATGAAAAATTTGGAATAATAAAAGCATATTAAAGTCCATTTATTATTTTGGTTTTGTTAATCTATTTATTACAAAGTTAGACATTAATTTAAGTTGGGGAGAATCAATATTGTCCACTGAAAAATAATATTATTCAAGTTTCTACTAAAATTTAGCCTTGGGAAAAATGATCTTTTTAAGGGAAAGGGGGGGATATTCCACATTAAATTAAATTGAGTAAAGATTTCTTGGTAACGTTATTCATTAGCATAGCAAAACTACAACTTTTTATTTATCTAAACGATTAATCTGAATAGATCGCAAACTTTACGAAATTAACGACGTCATTATTTTGGATTTTTTGTCTGTTCCGAAAAATGTTGCTTATATCCTTTCTTTTTATAATTTCACTAAGATAATTTTCTGCAGTGGGGAAAAAAGAAAAAGGCAAACATTTAGAGAACGCCATTTTGAACTTGAAAAAGTCTTTATGACCAGAAAAATCCTGCATGTTTAAAAACTAATTTAACATGATGCCTCCCACTATTTTTGGGTAATTTTGGCGTAATTTGTATAAGATTAAAAATGAAAAAGAGAGAGTGGTCTAAAATTTATATTCAACTACAACTCCCCCCCCCTCCTCCTCGAGAAAAGGACTTAAATAGAAGATGGAGATACAATATTTTGCAAGTTCATTGTATACAAACTTTAAAGACCAGCTTGTTTTTGAAAGTTTGAGTCCTCATACCAAACGTATAGGGTGCTGGGGATGAAAAAAGTACATCGAAAAAATGTAAGGCATTTTTTCTTTTTATTAAATTATCATGTGACACATGTTTATCTAACCTGAGATGGAATTTAAAGAATTTGAGCCGCGGTTTAAATCCGCCAAACCCCGGTTTAAATTTAGCGCCGGCTTAAATCTTGAAACATTTGATACAATTTTAAGTGGAACCAACCATATTTAAGCCGCGGCTTATATTTAAACCGCCGCTCAAATTCTTTAAAATCGGCCACTGGTTTTACTAAACCCGATATTACTTTAATACGCATTCGATATCCAAGAAAGAAGTATAAATTCAACCAATCAGTGTATCATGTTAAGATGTACTCTTAACTTTTAAAAAATCAGGTTTTTTTCATTGTGTCATATCAATTGAACTAAACACCGATTAAATAAATGTAAGCTTTGGATTAATGTTTGTTAAGACTCCTGTAAAATGATGATAGTCCTAAAATGTGATAAAATATATTTTTTAATAAGTTCTTATTAACATGATTAAATTTATGTTTGCTTAAATGCTCTAAAAGCCGGCTTGTGAACAGCTGACTTTAATTCAATCGGATATTAGTTCAATCGATATAGCATTGTATCTGTAATTGTTATCACACGTAACTTTTAAACAGTAGGGATTTCCAAAAAAGAGGATTAAGAATAAAATCAAAAGTGTGTACATTGGATACTCAGACTAAGCGATCTGAGCTGAAAACTTTTGAATGAGATGTCCTTAATCCTGATCGGATAATTAATCTGGAGATTAAAAATGAGAGGATAACAAGCAATATTTAATCTCGAGATTAAGAAAAAGAGTGGATTAAGCATTAATCCCGATATCCACCATTCTAAAGTTTTCAGCTCTGAGCTGGGAACTTTAGAAGGGTGGATATCGGGATTAATGCTTAATCCACTCTTTTTCTTAATCTCCAGAGTTAATATTGCTTGTTGTCCTCATGAATTTAATCTCCAGATCGGGATTAAGGATATCACATTCTAAAGTTTTCAGCTCTGAGCTGAGATAAATATGAAGAGGAGAACAAGCATTATTTAATCTGGAGATTAAGAAAAAGAGTGAATCAAGCATTGATCTTGATATCCACCATTCAAAAGTTCCCAGCTCAGGATTGAGGATATCTCATTCTAAAGTTTTCAGCTCTGTCTACTTTTTTATGATTTGAATTCTGTAGCTCGATTATTTAAAAAGTTATAGGATATTTAGATTGTTTTGAATCATTAACCTGTAAAAATTATTCACAGGTACTCTTTTTTTTCTGTAGAAATATGTATATGAAACCAAGATAAATCCAAAATATTTTCAATGGTTGACCAATAAATCATCGCGTGCCAACCAACCGTGCCAACCACTCTTGGGCACGTATTTAATCCTCAGTTTTCAACCCAGAATTACTTTTTAAAAATGTTAAAACTCGTATTTTATAAGCAGCTCAAGTCTAATTTACAGCTACTTGTGTATAAGAAATATAAAATGTCTATACACGGATTGAACTTGAGGCTAAATTTTTTTTCTCACTTTTTATTGGTTGGCCATATCTCAAGATGAACTGATTTCAGTACATCTTAGAGACACTGCATCATATAGAAAACCATAGATAAATAAATAAACATATGATAGCTTATGTACACAAAATCACCAAGAATTGTACAGTCCGCGAACTCATACTTCTAGGGGTCAAAGTGTACTTCAATGATAAGCGGGGTGGTTTGGTGTTTTAATAAATTTCATATTAGAGTGTAAAATAACTCCGGGAATAAAAATAACAACAATATTTCACTGAGCAATATATCATATTGACGAGAACTGAAGAAGGACACGAGAAGGACTAAACTAACTTAAATTTCTCTCTACAGGGTGTCCCAATAAACATAGGAATTCAGAGACGAATTCGATATCGTCTTTTTAAATAATTCTTTGATTTAGTATAGTGATACCTACTGAGAAAGCTGTAATCTGTAAGAATTTCGACTGCTATGTTCACATTTTGTTTGTTTATGTTTTGACTGCATAAGGATGTACTTAGTAAAACAAGAAAATTGCAGTATACAAACAGAGTAAACTTGACCGTCAACACTGTTCATCTTGCGGAGACATTACAGACACATCTTTACAGTCTTTTACTGTTTCATACAGTGAAACCCTTAATAACGAATACATCGGAAGAATTTATTAAATGTCGTCTTGACAATTTTTCAATGAGTTTTATACTATATTTCGTAAATTTCAGCATCTGCGAAAATAAATAAATAGCCATGCATATGCGGGAACAGTTTTAAAGAGTTACACATAATCATTTAATTAAAAAACTATATATCTGCGACATTCCATTATCAGAAAGTGAAGATTACGACATTTGATCATTTCTTTCGATGTATTCATTATTAAGGGTTTCACTGTAACATAAATCCTAGCAGACATAATAATATTATGGCTTTTGAAATTAGGTATTACAGTGCCAATTCATAACAAAGACGATATCCAATTCGTCACTGAATTCCCATGTTTTTGGGACACCCTGTACAGAACTCATGGACACCACAAGTACTCAATGACATAAAAACAGCCAATGTTTACAACCGACCTAGGTAATCTATATAATAGGAATATCTTTAAAACATCTCTGTACATTTATATCTGTCAAGAGGAAAAATGTCGTCTTCTATCTTTATCTATGTAGAAAACAGAAAATATATAAATATTATTTTTAACTGTTAAACTTAGTACTATTTACAAATTTCAAAAATGTATCTTTTTAATTGAGGTTGTTTTGGAACAGTGCTTAGGATCTTAAATATTATTTCCAAAACATCATTTCAAGTAGAAAGTTTAATGAAAGTTACTCAAAATAAAATAATTTCAAAAATGGCTCTGTAGAATCACATTTTTCTCTGTCGGCATGCGATGGTCAACAATTAAGATTGTTCTGGATTTATCTTAGATTCAAATATCTTTTTAAAGCAATCTTTACAGGGCCGTCATAGTAACAAGTTACAAGGAGATAGTTTGGGTGTTGCGCCATAAAGTCCCCCCCCCATTTTTTGAAATTAGAAAGAAATTGAGTCTTTGCCATAAACTGGAATTTTCTAATCCTTATATCTTTGCATCCTGATGGTATTATATTTCAAATAATTTGATTTATTATATTCCTTTGAAGGTTTACCTTTATCCTGTCTTCTGTCCTTAAGATTTTTCGCGATCACAGACACCATCTTATGATTATTAGATCTTCTAGAATATATTTAATGCTTTGTTCATATTTTTGTACTATTCGAAATTCATTTTGACATTAAGTATAAACAATTGTGAAACAATCTATATAAATTAGTGAATTGTGTTGTGCTGAAAGCGTAAAACAGTTTTTGATAGATATTTATTTGTCCACGGTCTAGAATACACTGCAAAGTTGGGTCTCCTCCCACCAGTATCAATTATTTAACCTATTGTGTCACACTGCAACAACAAGTTAATGAAAATAATAAAACTATCCATTCAAAACATGAATAACGTTTAGTTATTTTAAAAGTTCCCTGATTAAACGCAGAAGAAGTGGTCTGATTCATAAGATTGTTTAAATTAATGCATAAAGACTAGGGTTTCCAATTGGAATTCCGTTACGCGGAAAAGCGCTCAATGATTTCTTCCGCTTGCGCTTTCATTGCGCAGAATTGCGTTATAATTGCGAATAAGGAAGCAATTAAATATTCGCAAAATTGCGTGCAACGGAGTTGCTTTTCTATCTTAGAATCAATAATTTTAACTGCGACTTACAGATTTATGCTGCAGATACAAGAATGGAAATATCTCTGTAGATTTTTAAAATCACTTTTCACCAGTTTTCAAATATTAAAGTTTCTTGTGGTTAAACTACTAATTAACAATTTTTCATTTGTTCACATTGAATGAACATTAAAATGGAATTTTTTTATGGTTATAATTGTAAGGTTCGTTTATCAAAATTAGATAGCTTGCTACAGTGAGAACCGGAAAAGTTTGGTATAGAAAGACGTTTGATGTCGTTACGAAGCTAACAAATTTAATTAGTAACTTAATAAATCACTTATTCAGTTAAATGGGTTTTGCTTGAGTTTAAAATGTTGTCTTCCTATGCCACAGTTTTCTGGTTATCATGCTGCATTTGCATATAAATATTATAAAATAAAAGATTAAGTTTAAATTCAATTTTTTTATTATTTGAGACTGAATTGTTAGTGAAGTTCATCTTATTATGTCCCACTACCAAAGTTTAAATTTTTTTTTGTTGAACAAAATTGCGCAATAATCAATTTAAATTTGATATCATCAAAAAATTGAAACACAAACGGAAGAAAGTTGGACGGTATTGTGCGCTGCGTTTCTTCCGCGCAATTAAATTCGCTTGCGCGCAAGTAAAATCCACTTTCGTTGTAAACCTTAATAATGACGACTTCGTCAAATTAAGTAAAAGAAGTTGTTAAGCATGGTGAAGGATCAGGTTTCTAAAATCAAACAAGTAAAAAGGGGACCAGATCATGAGGGTTTTGAGTCAAATTTCAGTCGAAATTTAAAAAAAAATTATCTATCTTATAATAAACTTATTCATCATATTTTTTCGGTGACAGTAAAGGATGTCTTGGCTGAATGAAGCAATAGTTGTGAAAACCCATAGTAATTTAAACTTTACTCTTTATCTAATATATTCAAGTTTGAGGGGCTGTCGATAATCTTCTCATAAAAAGTGTTAAAACCATTGAAAAAAATATTTAAGAAAAAATGTCACAGTTTGGTGTGCAGTTCAGGAATATGCTATACATAAACCCTCACCCATTTTACCTCCAACCCACAAATATGTTTGTAGCAAATACTTTTATTGAATTGGACGCCAAGAGGAGTGGGGGAAGGCAGGCGGCCATAAGTCACAACATTTTCCTGCGTGGAGACAGAATAGCGGGAGGCTTGGTGACGTCACGGAGGCTGGGAGACCAGTTTTGCGGGGCCATGGAGGTAATTCTGCAAATCCGGAGGTTCGGAGGTCATTTTTGCGGGGATCATGGCGCCTCTGCACCCCCTCCCTCGTCACATATTATCTTTTTTTTGTCTTCCGGCAGCCGTGAGCCAAAATCTGACGGTCTTCAATGCCACAGCATTTGAGTCTTCCGCCATTATTACGTTTTTAAATGATAAATTTAGGGCATTGGATTGCCGCAAACTATTTCTAAGGTCAAACCGTGATTTGGGCCGTTTCTAACACTGATTTCAGAAAATAATTTAATAATTGAAATTGCTGTTCTTGTCATGATTATCGCTTTTCCAACTGATGTCTGGTTGACCCTAAATAGAG